TTTTGCTTGTTAAATCAGTATTGTTCAAGGGGACCCTATGATGACCCAGCTCCTTTTGTGGGAATTCCAAGTCCTCTTCGTCATCAAGGCCACTGAGGCATGCGACGCAAATCATCTGCGAACCAATGGGCACTTCAATACCTGAGCAAAATTCATGTGGGTTTTGTGGGATTCAATGCTGATATCATTGGATTAATGGGATTTCACCATGAAAAGTGGTGATTTAATGGGATTTAATTGGATCTAATGGGATATAAAGTGATTAAAACAATGCCATAAACCACCCATGACTGGGAATTGTTAAAAACACCTATAGAAATATCCATTTATGGTGATGACTGGGGGATGTTTTATGACATTGTTTTACCCACATTAGATGGGATTTACCCTTCGGATCCCTTCGGCAAAATCATCAATGAGGAATCTTCCAGTAGAAAAAATGGGGATTCAAATCCTCATTAAATCCTGATTAAATCCTCATTTTATTTTAATGTTATCTTCTTTTTATCATCATTTCCTCATCAAATCCTCATTTTATCTTCATTTTATCTTCATGTTATCCTCATTTTATCCTCATTTTATCCTCGTTTCCTCATCAAATCTTCATTTAATCTGCATTCTTTCTTCATTTCCTCATCAAATCCTCATTAAATCCTCATTAAATCTTCTTTTTGTAGATTGTATATGTACAAATATGCAGTAAATATCATGTCAGTGCCAGAAATTATAGATCGGAGCCAGGAGTAATTTAATTATAGAACGGGGAAATTTAATTATAGAACAGGGAAATTTAATTATAGAACGGATCCCCGTTCTATAATTAAATTTCCCGACTCCGCGCGGAATCGGAACCCGGAGGAGTACAAAGGTACGGTATTTTACCGTACTTTTGTACTCCTGGCTCCGTTCTATAATTCTGACACCACCTGTAATGAGATATTGGGGAAATTGAAGACTACAAGGTGGTGCCTCCGTTTACGAAAACGCTAAGTTGGCGAACAGAACTCCAATTTCACTATGGTTTAGAGGTGATATATCTATAGTTTATATCCATAAATATCCGTATATCTGGGTAAATTGTACTTGGATGATAATCTAGCAACCTGAGGTTATATCATAGGTTGTATCCATGAAGGTTAATGGACTTATAACTAATTTAAAACTGGGTGGGCATCACCTTGTATGAGTGGATGGGAGTTCTGATTGCGTTTTCCTCGTGGCGCAGATGCCGCAAACAACAGCATGCCAGTACAATTACTCTGCCCATGGCAACATTCAATAGTCTAGGATAGAAATCTGAATCGGTCACTGTTTCTTTCAACTTTCACGAAAAGGTGACGGACCCCGGATGGCTACAAGGTGGTGCCCCCAAACGTTATAAATTGGTTTACAAACCCCATGAAAACTAGTTGGTTATAAGCACATATAAGCACTATAAACCATAGTGAGTTCTTGGAGATATATGGATATTTATGATTATTTATGGGTATAAACCATAGATTGCCATCACCTTTTTCAACATCTATAATCCAATATAGTGAGTGAAATTGGACTGATTAGTGGCCCACAACTGAGCGCTATCATAAATCAGCTATAAATCAAATAAAACTACCATTTTCCTATGGTTTTCCTAGTGTTTTCCTATGGTTTTCCCCATTTTCCTAGTGTTTTCCTATGGTTTTCCTAGTGTTTTCCTATGGTTTTCCTATAGTTCCCCAATTTGTGGTTGATTCACCTTGGACGCCAGCGTCCCATCCGAGTGGCGCAGCAGCAGTGCATCCTCCAGGTCTTCCGGAAGAAGTGCGTGCCGCCGAGCGTAGAAATTTCCTCGCCGACGAAAACCATCCATATGTTAAGCAAAAAATGGGATTTAATGGGTTTTAATGGTGGTTTAATCCCAGTAGCAAGGTAATTTTGGTGATTCAATGGTGGTATAGGTCCAAAGAATAATGATTTAATGGGATTTACTGGGATTTACTGGAATTTAATGGGATTTACCCTCTGGTATATTAACATAGACCCTGGCAGTCATCGGGGTTGGAAGACTAGTTTCCATGAAGATTGCTGATTTTCAGGGTCTATGTTAATTTACCAGGGTGTAATGGGATTTAATTGGATTTAATTGGATTGTTATTGCGTTTGAACCATCCCACTTTCATGTGTTGATGGGAAAGCCCATATGGTTTCTGGTTAGGATTCGTTCCTTTATATTGACATATGTTCCTTTTAAACTAATCCAGGATTTGTTCGAATTGAAAGCGGTAATGAAGTGAACACGTCCATTTTTATTGTTACCAAGATATCGAAGTTACCAATGTACTATTATTGTGATGAGGTTTTCCTTTTTGCTTACTATTACTGGTTATCGGATTTTCAAACCTTCCAAGAATTGGTCCAGCGGCATTGTCTTCCGGGACCGAAACTTACAAAACTGATTTCAAGCCACAAGCCTGATATTCTCTCTGGTTATGGGCAAACCAACCACAAAGTGGTGGTATATTTCCAGTCAACGGGAAGCCAAGGGTTTGATCAGGAGACCCAGGCTACCCTCAGATGTCTCGACACCTAACATGTAGACCCAGGCTAACCTCTGGTAAACGAACATAGCTAGAAATCACCATTTCTTGTGGATAAATCATCGGTAAATGGGCCATGTTTCATGGCTAACCTTTGCTTACTGGAAGGTAAGTTCCAGGCGTTGGTTGACCCCTTAGCTATATATATAGTTATATCATAAACCCTAGTTAAGCAAGTTCTAAGTCAATACAGGATGGGCCCCCCTAGATAGCTAAGTTGGTTTTTAACTTCAATAAGTAAGAATCATGGTACTTATAACATCTTATAACTATACTTACTCAATACTTACTGATGTTTATAAAGCAACTTATAACTGGGGAGGCCACATTGTAACAAAACAAACCTGCTGGCATAAAGAACAACGTAAACAGCCAATCCTACGCATTGTTGGTGGTTAAATTAACATGTTCGTATGGAGTTGCTACACATCTGGACTGGAGTTTCTAGACTTCTGGCGATTCTTGCTGAAGGCTCCTATTGAACGTGACAGCGAGCAGGACATGTAGGCATCGTCTTTGATGTCCTGGCTGCGTGGAGGATTACCCTCTGGTAAACTAACAATTTGCTATCGAGGATGGCACATTTATAGTTGATTTACCCATTAAAAATGACCCACTTGGGCACCAGGGCTACAAACCACTTACTAGATGGCAGGTTGTTGGGTGGCTGCCAGTTTTGGCACGTCGATGCAACATCCACCAAGAAGGTTCCTTCAGAGAAAGTGCGAGAGATTCAATCCAAATAGGTGGTTTATCCCATTGTTTAGCGGGTTTCAACCATCCAAGGTGGTGCAGGATTTCTTCCATCCACACTATAATCCCATTGTAAACCAGTGTTTCATAGTTAGCAATTTCAATATTTACATATATTTACCAATAATTGGTGCAGGATTTCTTCCATTCGCAGTATGTGTGTTCCACGGTGAAGCCTCTGGAAATTCGATCGTTGCAAGTGATGCCAGGGACGGCACCTAACTATCTAAGCTTCGCTCATAAAAATGTTGACATAGATAGGTCAACATATTTTGGTAAACATATGTATATTAATTATTTGAATAAGTGGGCTTGTCCAAAAATCTGCTATACCAGCCCATTTCAGAGACACCTGTTTACCTATAGTATTTCATGTATGGAGCATCTTCTGCAAATATCAACCATGGCATGGCTCTAAGTTCTTAGTCGGGCACAATCTGATACTCCGAATTGATGGTAAACACATAGCCCATGAAAACCATCGAAATCCTTGTAGACCCACAACGGACCATATTTTTTTCGGATAGGCCCCTATTACATTGATGCTTTAACTGATGTTTTTGGTGGTTAAACAAATGACAAACAGATAGAACGGGTTCAACTTACTCTGATTTATCACTATCCAATTTACCAATTCCAAACTATCTTTTGGTGTTACTACAATGTGGGGCCCCCAAGGGTTGCCAAACTGGTTTATAACTCCAATAACTATATGGTTGGTGATACTTATTACTATAGTCTACCATATTCATAGGGTTTATGAACCCATTTATAACGTTTAGGGGCCCCAAATTGTAGTAAACAAAGCATTTCCAGGCCCTTTCCGGAAGTTATTTTTTTCACCCGTGTCGCCCGGTCGGATCCGGGTCCTTTCTTTGGCTGTCCGAGGTGTTCAAATTCACCTGCCACGGGAGTTCTACCAGTTCGAAGCGTTCGGAGCGTTCGGGGCTGCCCCCCCAGTGATGTGAAGTTGGTTTATAAACCATACAGTTATGGCCCTTTACCAGTTATAAGTACTTATAACACCATTTATAGAATGTATAATCCCACTTATAACCAGTTATAACTGATAAATGGCCATAACTGTAGTAATTATAGATATATACCCCCTGATCAACCCTAGTGATTAGACTTTTGTTCACCAACTTAGCTATCTTGGGGACACCACCTTGTGGGAACATGTTAATCTAACCAACAACAAATGGGAATTCAATGGGATTTGGAGTCAGTTTATGATAGTTGAATTGACTTATGATTTTGTTTGCTTAGGGTTTATGATAGACATGACTATAATCAATGGGGTTCAAACACCACAATCATGTTTGGAGCACCATCTTGTAAGAACATGGTAAGTTGTTGGCTAATTACAGCTAATTATTTATATATAAAATATATCGCCATAAATATTGGTCGGCTCATGATAACTGATGATCATGCTGATCCAACATGCTCTCCCAGTGCTTTGTCTCAGGCTTCCATCAAATGTCGCACGTTTTGTTTAGTATATGGTAACTAAACATCACTAAACTATATCCTAAAATTGTAGTATATCCCATATATAACCCATATGCTTGTATGATACATTTCCCTACATAACTGGCTCATTTTGAGGAAGGAAATCTTGATAAATCTTCCGCCCAACAGCTATGGACCAGCAACCAACGGCCTCCATCAGATGTTGCACATAGGACATACCTTGGATCTGAGGAAATCCCCAGGTCTTGTCCCCCCATGAAGCTCCCAAAAAGTCCCATGAAGTTCCGGTGTTTTGATGGTTTTGCCATTTTTTTAAATGGGTAAATCCACTATTGAAACAATGGTTAATCCACTATTGAAGTCTCATTGACGTCACCATGTTTTTTAAATTCGACGGCCAAAATACATGGCCGTCGAATTAAGGATCCCCTGCAACTTAGCTGGTGGACGGCTCGATAATCCCATTGTTGCCAAAAGACTAAAGGATTAAACTACCCATGTAAGATTGACGTAGAATATGTCCCATTGAGTCCAATTATCCAATCCCATGAAACTAAGTCCGGTCAATTTCCAATGAATTTCCCATTGTTTATGGTAGAATCCAACGAAAGTCACCATTCAAAAATCATCTTCGGCTTTATATCCCCATTTTGTCCCCATTACATCTCCGTCTTTAGTTCTTAAAGTCACCATTCAATCCAGGATAAATATGAATTCAAGCCATGAAATCCAGGATAATTCTTCATTGATCCCCATGAAGTTTCCCTTGAAGTTCGACCATATTCTTGGATGGTTGTGTTTCATCCCATAAAGTTGTGATCCTTTTCATCCAGGAAGTGAAATCTTCACCATTTTTGATGGTTTTTTATCATGTCTACCCGGCCTGGTAAACGTTAACAAAAAACGAACTGGAAAGATCCACCATGCCATGAAAATGGGTAAATCCACTACTGAAACAATGGCCATGGCTTCAATAGCAAACTGTAAACGTTTACCAGAGGGTAAATCCCTCATACTCACCCAGTGATTCCATTACCAGAGGGTAAATCCCCCATTGCATCCAGGCTGCTGCTAATCCCCTCCACAACGTCAACGGCTCCGCCAGCCGTGGCGCCACCGTCGCCAACGCGTCCAGCTGCGCCGCGCGGAAGGCCAGCGACGACGAGGTGCCGGAGGTGCCGCCGTGGCGGAGGAAGCGGTTGAGGCTGCGGTAGTTGGCCGCCGAGGCATCCACATACCTGACTTAGATGGGCCATGGGATTAACTAACTGGTTCCTAATAGATGACTTACTAACTAACTTCATAGATGGTATTTCCATGGATATTACTATTCCATACTTGACTAGCATTTACGATATGATATATGGAATACTTAGAGGGGCCATCGGATTAACTCGTTTGTAACTGGGGATTTTTTACCCTCAAAAAATCCCAATGAAATAATCCATGGCTACTAACTATAGTTAACTCCATGGCACATCTAAGGAGGAGATGAACACATCATGGCCAGTCAGCCATGGTGAGTAGATAATTCAACTGATACCAGAAGACTAGTTAGGATTAGTTTCTACCCATCTAAGATCGACCTATATAGATATATTATCATTATGTAAACATATTATGTTTTAAATATTTAATGTAACTTATTTATATATACGTATAATGCATGTTATGAATATTATATATATATATATATTCTGTTGAAACACAACTGGTGTTTAGGCTGCAGTTGGTTGGTTGGGAAAAACATGTCCTATGCATCTATGGTGTGTATATCCACAGTATATATATAGGGTAACTACCTCCGGGAAGGTTTTCCTTGGCCCGCCCGGTCATTTCAACATACGCAATCCAAGCCACTTAAACTGGTATTCTATAGCTACCTCCTGGGCCTCGCGTTCTGGCCCGGCCCCCCACGTATTTAAATGTCGTTACCGTATTAATAATTATATCACGATGAAATTTTGACCAGCAAGAATTCGATTGAATCAGGATAAACCAGGATAAATGTGGAGATATCTACCATACAGATACGTAGCAAACGAACTGGGGCACCAGGCTGACCGAAAACATAATCATCAACCAACTCTACCCCAACAAGGCGGTGCCTGAGTTCATAAGCAAAGTTGGTTTCTAAGTAGGTTGACTTGGATTTATGGTTGATCACTGGGCTTATGAACCAACTAATGTACAAGTCATTGTTATTCCATTGAATCATGTTGAATCCAATTAAACCCCGCTAGTCATAGTCCATTATGATGTACAATCGATTCTTGATGCCTTACATTCCTACAAGTGGAGCCTCCAAGATAGCTAAGTTGGTTTATAACTCCAACAAGTGTGATTTATGATAGTTATAAGTTATAACTATAATCAATAGCAATATGGTTTTTTAACATATAACTTGGGGGCCCCACATCCCTACCAAATGATGCTTGGCCACAATGCCAATCCGAGACAATCCAAGGCTCCATCGCAGCGTCTCCAGCCACTCCGCCGCTTCCGTAGAGCCTCCGTGCTGCGCCTCCGTCTCGAGCTCCGAGTAGAAGGACATGATGGGCCAAAGGGCCCCTCGGAGCGAGTCAGCGAGTCCCTGGATCATGAAGTACCCTCTGGTAAAGCAACAAAAACCACAGGAAAATCATAGGAAAACCATAGGAACATGGGCATTTCATGGGGTTTATAGCTGACTTAACATAGCTATTGAAAATGGCGATAGAAATAGTGAGTTTTCCCATTAGAAATGCTGATGTTCCATAGCGAACTTTTAGTTTACCAGAGGGTAGTTTTTAACATGGCTAAATGGCTAAGTTAAACTGCATTTCTAGGCAAAACAAAATCATTTGAACAAAAACATACGGATAAGTGTTAGACTTCCTTTATAGATTTTTGCACACTTCTCCCGTTGAAAAATGAACATCAAAGGGATACCCTGACTGCCCTGTGTTTTTTGAATAAAACATCATGTTGGGGAATCTGGACCTCAAAATGAGGATTCGACTCAGATGTAGTGGGTTGTAAGTCACTTACTTACAAATCATGCCAGCAAGCAGCGTATAAGTCAACATTTATCCCAATTACATGGGTTTAGTCAGCTACTTACTAACCTTTCATCCTAATTTCATTTGAACCATGTATCCAGTTGAAATGACTCCACCTTCTTGAGCTAGCTGAGTTAGCTGAAGGCCCCGCACAATCAAAATCTGGTAGATTCCCACAAACCGTTGATTTTAGGACCGCGTCAACTCTCCACATGATCTCCCCTAGAAGTTGGATATTGCTGGCCAGTGCTGCATATATATGGTCAACTCTCCACATGATCTCCCCATTGCTGGCGTGATGGAGGCAGTAAAAAAAAGAATGTGGTCATTTTTGTTGCCAGGTGACCAATTACCCTCTGGCAAACATACAAACAACGATGGAAAATCACAATTTTTGATGAACTATTTCGACTGGGCAATTTTCAATAGCAAAGTGTAAACGTTTACCAGAGGGTAAATCTCTCATACTCACCCAGTGATTCCATTATAATCCGGTTGGTGGTTTTAACCATCTTGAAAAATAGTCAATGGGAAGGAATATCCCATATATTATGGAAAATAAAAAATGATTGAAACCACCAACCAGTAATTTATAATTGGCCATTCAACGCTGAGATTCACGCTGAATGTTGGCAAGGTGAACTCCCATAAACATCACGGTTACACTTGATCCCCACCAGATTCCCGCGTTTTTTGTTGGGTAAACCAGCATTTTTCCATGTAGCAACATGTAGCCAATGTAAAGTCATGAGTCATGAACATTGTGGTTTGCACATGTTTGCACAGTTTGCCAATGCCAATGTAATACACCCCCAGTTTATTCATATAGGGCGATGCCAAAATAGTGATTCACGTCCCTTTTTGAAAATGGTCCCGCCCGATTAGTAAACTACAGTTATGGCCATTTATTAGTTATAAGTACTAACAAAACCCCAATTTAAAGAATGTATAATCCCATTTATAACCAGTTATAACTGGTAAATGGCCATAACTGTAGGGGTTTAACAATCATCCCCGGTTGATATTTCACAAAGTTTTCCAATCATAACGACTTGACTCTCCCACAGTTTGCCCCAAAAAACATGAACAAATCATTCTTAGGTTCCGTTGAGTCCGATTTTCCATGACCATGTTTGCATATTGGTTTCTTGTTACCCTCTGGTTATGTCAAAATAGCTATTGAAAATTGCTATTTATAGTGGATTTACTAACCCATTAGAAATGGTGATTTTCCATAGTTACGTAAACGTTTACCAGAGGGTAAATCATGTTAAATCATGTTAGTCATCCCCAAAAGATGTTGGTCATCTCTCCACCTTTCCGAAACCCGGTTCACCCGGTTCACCCGAACGTTCACCCCGCGAACGGACGGCTTGAACAGATGGACCATGGGATGTTGCCGATTCCTGGTGAGTAACTGGGGATTTGTTAGCCTCTATGGTCCATTTACTAACCAATAATACCCAATAAGTTAGTTAGTAATCCCATATAAGCTATGGATTTATTAACCAATATTAGTTAGTTAGTTAGCTAAGTTTAGTAAACTAACCTCTATATCCCAAGAATCCATTTACTAACTAGTTTTCACATAGCCGTGGAATCCATGGAAAATGGCCCATGGAAATAGATGGTTCACCTACTAAAAATTGTGATTTTCCATGGCGAACTGTTAAATAACCAGATGGTAAGCGATATTACATCTGGTTGGTGGCTTGGAACATTGTTTCCCCTAATATATATGGGGTAATCCTTCCCATTGACTAACTAGTTCATTAACTCTATATCCCAATGAAATAATCCATTTACTAACTAGTTTTCCCTAACTCCATGGCCCATCTAAGTGAAAATCTGCGGATCCAAGCAGCGCGGCACATCCGTCAGCGTTCGCACCTGTGGGCAGCACTCGCTGCAGGCGCCCATGGCCGCCGCGCCAAGACGTCGCATCACCACGCGCCAGGACGCCATGGCGAACGACTCCGGTCTCACTTGGGCGCCAGGTGGTCGTGGAACTCATGAGGATCCACGTTTTGTGGGCCCCCCCCCCAGTGATGTGAACGTTGGTTTATAAACCCCATGAAAACTATAGTTATAAGTACCATAAATATCCATAAATCATATAGTTATTGGAGGTATGTTCACCAACTTAGCTATCTTGGAGGCCCCACATTGTAGAATAGTTGGACACATCATGAACCATACTGATTGGAGCCTGATTGGAGCTATTTGGACCAACTTACAGTAACTATAAAGTTTAGGGGCACACTGTGCAGGTTTCTAAGAGGTTACTCACCACAAAAAACTGATTCCATGGCCAACATCCAACCTGGGGGTGTTTTCTACATCCCAACATGCAAGAAGCGCATTCTAAATGTCTCATAATCACTTTGAGATCCATAAAATCAAACAGTTCCGTGGGCTACTATATCTACCATATTAATGTTCAGCACATTTCAGCACATATACTACTGCTGTGTGCTTTCAACCCATCTGAAAAATATTAATCAAATTGGATCATCATCCCAACTATTGGGGAAAATAAAAGTCATGTTCCAAACCACCAACCAGTATAATATACTAGATATATCATGATATATCTGTAGTTGACTGGGTTTACAAAGCAACTTGTATAATTGGGGATGGCACCTTGTAGGAACTCTTTTTCAAAACCAGGTCCAGGTCTTTTCGCTGCTTGATCCTGATACTCCAGGTGGTGACGCCAGTGACGCCAATGAATTTCCCTCAGAATTTCAACATTTGTTCCCACAGAAACAAGCACCAGTCCCAACAAACGCCTATGGAACAAGATCTTTTTGGCTGGTGAGGTTGATTTTATCCCAAACAAAATTGAGGAAGTTTAGGAAGGACTCGTGCTTATTTTTACCAAGTGCAAAATGGATGCAATCACACATTTTGCACAATACCCTCTGGTAAACATACAAAAAACTATGGAAAATCACCATCCTTAACAGGTAAATCAACTATTTCAATGGGTCATCTATACCATAGCTATGTAACAGCCATTACCAGAGGGTAGCATTTGCAGAAATCACCGGTCAATATCAATAATCCATCTAGAAACCATCAACATTTACCCCCATCAAGATAGATATTCAGCTAAACTACCCATCCAAAATCTTCCATGATATCCCGAAAATAACATCTCCAAATGGCAAAATGGTACCAGGTGGCCCCAAAAGAGTTGACTTATAACTTGGTTTCACTATGATTAACTATAGGGTTTATGAGGGATAGAGCTATAGTTGAGGTTTTTAAGCCAATAAATAAACTTCAATAAACATCACTGGGGGGGGGGCCTCATCTTGTACCCTTTACCAAACCAAACTTTACACAGAGCTGAACTGGTCAATACTGGTCACCGCGGTCTGGTCACCGCTGCCACTAGGAACAACAAGTTGGAAACCTGGAAATTGTGGAGAGCACATCACTACCATCCTGGAAATACAAAAAAAAAGTCATCTTTTTGGGGTTTAGTATACTGCTACGACGCAACGGGAAAAAAAACTTTCTTACTTCGATCAACTTTGCTAACAGATCAATCTCATTACTGTCAAGTGAGGACTAATAATGCCCCCCCGATTAATCAACCTCAACTGCCCAAAAAAGAAATATAATTTAAAAACAGGTGGTCCCCCCAGATTAATAAACACTTTGGCCTACCCCCGATTAATCAACCCCCTGTGCTGAAATCCATTTTTTAATCCAACATTGTTTATTTCCAATTCTATTTATGTCCAATTGTTTTTTACCTTTTTTTAATCATCATTGTTATACTTCAGGTTTAAGTTGATCATTGAAAATTTCAAAAAACAACTATTCCCCAAATGATCGATTTCTAATTAAAATCTTTATAAAAATCATCAGTTTGGATAGCTCCCAAAGGGTACCCCCCATGAGCCCCTGTCCCCCATTAATAATAACCAGGGTTTGCCCCTGATTAATCAACCACCTTTCTGATCCATGAAATTTTAACATATCCAATGGAATTCTCTTAAGATCTAATTGACGTAAGCCATATCCAAAGTTTTAGGGTTCAGAGTTGCTTATTATTAAGGGGTGGTCAAGAAAACTAGCCAGAAGGTACCCCCCTATACCTTCTGGGGGGGGGTTATTAATCCGGTGTTGGCATTAATTAAATCCCATCAAGTCCCTGGAGAATTCCCATTCAATTCCATGAACCACTGACAGAAAAAACCATTCCGTTCACCAACTGATAGCGATTCCATTCACCCGAGTTCGCAGCACCGTTCCGTTCGCCGCCTGTGATCTCATTGCCTTGCACGTCCCGTGGAACCACTGAACCTGCAACCGATGCCGCGACTGTGACGCTGTCGGTGTATCAAGGGTCTGTAGGTTTCGGCAAAATACTGAGAGAAACAAAGTAGTGTGTACCAAATACAAAGAATTTCTTGGACACCAAAGAGTTGAATTAATACGAGGTTGTTTCAGTGTTTGGGTTGTATCACCTCATTTCCTTGGCACAAAACCATGATCACATGCGCAACGTGATTTGTGGGGTGCTACCCCCTATATAATTCATTGACCAAATTTTATGAATATGGTGTTGACAACGCCCCAAAAAAGAATTCAGAACTTTCCGGTATCTGAATACGTGTAACATGTCACGGGTTGGTGGTTTTAACATGTTTTAACCATGAAAGTCAATGGGAAGGATGACATCCCATATATTATGGAAAATAAAAAATGTTTGAAACCACCAACCAGGTCATGTAAAAGACAAAACACAAAACACATCAAAACACTTGTCTTCAGGGAGGGGGGTCTTTCAACACAGTTCATTTATGTTTGGGTTTCATGCGCTGAACATCCGCTTGAAGAAATGGAACACAAAATAATTTCATCATTCCAGCAGTGAACAGTTTTAGATTTATAAATTGTTCCAGGTCACATCTCTATCTGGTTGGTGGTTTGAACTCTCTGAAAAAATGTGAGTTCGTCAGTTGGGATTATGACATTCCCAACTGAATGGAAAAACATGTTCCAAACCACCAGCCAGTAGAGGTTTCTTTTAACATATCCCTTACCAGTAGAGGTTTCTTTTAATATATGGAAAATCACATTTGTTCATGGGAAATCTCACTATAAATGGGCCATGGCTTCAATAGCAAACTGCAACAGCCATTACCAGAGGGTAGTTGTTGAAAAGGTAGGGTACTTCTAAGTCACAACACATGAAGAATCCTCTGTTTTCACTATCCATATCCAGTTCCAACTAAACATGGGTTGTCAACAAAACACTCCCAGTGTCCCACGAAAAACATATACCGAATCCCATGAAATCACCATGAAATCCTATGAAATCACCATTCAATCACTTCAAATCGGATCTAGTAACATGGGATTTGGAATATATAGTGGAATCATATTTTATCCATCCCACCACCATTTCATATAACAAATCCCATGGGATCCCATGTGACTCATGCGTTGAATCGACATCATGGATCTAGTTGAATCACCATGGAATTCCCATGGAATGAGCAGTTACCCTCTGGTGAACTAACATAGCTATTGAAAATGGCCATTTATAGTGGGTTTTCTCATTAAAAATGGTGATTTTCCATAGCAAAATGTTAGTTCACCAGTGGGTAAATCCCATGGAAATCAGAGCTCACTGGGTACAAAAAGCCCCAGCGGCCATCCCATGGGTCTTTTTTTCCCAGGCGGGCGGTTGTGAATCCAAGAACTCACTATGGTTTATGACACGCAAATACCTACAGGATGGTGCCCCCCAGTGATGTGAACGTTGGTTTATAAACCCCGTGAATACTATAGTTATATCTGCCATAAACCATAGTGACATTGGAGTTATAAACCAACTTAGCTAACTATGGGGCACCACCTTGTACCATAGATTTGCTTAAGGAACCACATAAAACAAATATTCCCTTCATCGTTTCCCCAAGTTGTGGATTTCCCATGGAGAAAATAAAAAAAAAAACATCTTCAACAAATCCAAGCTATAGTTCATGGGCTTTATTAGCCAACAAACATAAAACTAGGCTATAGGCTTTTCGGGTTTCTCACCTTGTTGCAACCACCAGTCCTCTCGTTTTTTTCCGGCAAGTAACAGGTGACTTCCACTCCCACGGGCCATGGTGCAGGTGGGATGCACAAAATGCTGGAGGTCTCTGCGACGGGAATGTTCACAGAGAGATGCAACCTGAGTTCACCGAACGGTGCCCAAAGAATGGGATAAAAATGCCATGAAGAACATTGTGATTTACTGGGAGCTCATGGAATTTCATGGGACCTGGAATTTAAGAAGATTCACTTGGGTGGTGCCCCAATCGACCATTTTTTTTGGAGTATATCGGAAATTCATCAACAACAATTAAGATTTCATGGAATTCAACCAGCAAAAATCGTGATTTAATAGCATTTCATAGGATTTAATGGGATCTAGGTCTGTGTGCCCCAGTTGGTTGGTTGGCTGAGTTAGGCATTTTACGGCGCCAAAATACCAACAAAAATGGTGATTTTAGTGGGGCTCTATGATCAAAAGACACCAATGCAATTCCTACCCAAAAATAATTTGCAAATTGACTTACCCTCTGGTTATTTAACATAGCCATAGAACATGGCCCATTTATAGATGGTTTACCGAACGTAAAAATGGTGATTTTCCATGGCGAACTGTTAGTCATACCCAGATTTTGCATTTTTTTTGTAACCTTCCCAATTTCACCAGGCCGATCTAATTTCACCAGGTGATATCACCATCATATTTAAATCACCATCATAGTGTAAATCATTGCTGTTTAAATCAGTGGGATACACTGTTGATTCCCCATCATGTATAGAAACATGGAGGCTGCAAATGGCTATCCAATTTGGAAAGGTACCAACATTTGACCCATACCCATACCCACCAGGGAGGATACTATCCGTTGAATCCCATGAAATCCCACCAGAAAAACACTAGAAAAATACAAGATGAAATCACCATATGTCTTAGTAAAATCCAACAAAATCACCATATTTCCTAATTACCCTCTGGTAAACTAACGTAATTGTGGAAAATTACAATTTTTAATGCTCAAATCCACTATAAATGGCCATGTTCAATAGCTATGTTAGTTTACCAGAGGGTAAATCAGCTTCAAAATCCAATTTTTCCCATCCAAAACACCCCGTTGCGTTCCCGCCATGTCCGCCGCCGGGTCGCAGCACGCTGGCGCTGGCCACGGGCCGCAGTCCGCCGCGCGAGGAGCCTTGGCTGAAGACGTCGAAGGTCAAATTGTGTACCGCCGGGGCGGGACCTGCGGAGCAGGGGTCAACATGGAAATGTGGATACCCCCTGGTAATTTAACATAGAAATAGTGGATTTACCCATTAAAAATGGTGATTTTCCAATATATAAATATAAATAAATATATATATATATATACAATGTGGGGCCCCCAAGATAGCTAAGTTGATTTATAACTCTAATAACTAGGACTTATGGTAGATATATCGAACTAGTTAATGGGATTATAAACCAACTTATAACTTGGGGGGCACCACCTTGTAGAATTCTGTCTGGCTGTTAACCAAGGTCGTGATATTAACAGTGATTAATGGTGATTAATGGTGGTGATTAATGGCTAATGGTGAATTAATGGGTAATTTGGCTAATAATGGGATTTTGATAGGTTTTACCCATCAAAAAGGCTACCCACCAAAACTAGGACAAACACGGAGTTTTTTTCTCCAGGTACACACTTTGTAGTCCAGAGAAGTTGGAGTATACACTCTGGTAATTTAACATAGCGAACTGGAAAACGGTCCATAGAAATAGTTGATTTACCATGAAAATAGCATGGTGATTTTCCAGTTCGCTATGTAAACGTTTACCAGAGGGTAATATCCACTATGGATATTTACATGTAACTATGTTGGATATGTTTCTAATAGTTGACATGTAAATATCCATTAACATTATAGATACTACGATTCCATATAGTAAAGGCTAGTGGCCATATGAAAGTGGCAATGTACTGTATATTGGGCCACGGTCAATATTTGGTATTAGCTCCAAGTCATCAATTCTTGAAGAATGTATTATCGTGTTTCATTTTTTTGTATATAAACAAATGTTATCGTTTTTTGAAGAGTGTATTATCGTTTTCCAAGCCGCAGTTCAATCCCCCCCCAAAAAAAAAATATCTCGAATACTACTCTCAATTAACCTAAATTTTGGCTGTAGCTCGTATCATTAGTCACTGTACTTGGTTGAAAGAACTACTTAGATGGGGCATGGAGTTAGTTAACTAGTTAGTAAATGGATTATTTTATTGGGATATAGGGGCTTATATCCTCAGTTACTAACCAGGAATCACGTTTTTCCCATGGCCCATCTAAGTATGCCATATATCATATAGTGAATGCTAATCAAAAATATGGAATAGTAACATCCATGGAAATACCATCCATGAAGTTAGAAGACATGGATATCTTGTGATAGATAGTAGTATCTTGTGATTTAGTGGTGATTAAATGATGCGTTCATGGTAATATATTTTGATAGACAAGGAATAGTACAATGTGGGCCTCCCTAGTGATGTGAATTGTTTTCTTAAACCCTATGAACTGTAGTAATAGGTATCACAAACCATAGTTAAATTATAGGAGTTTTAGCTATCTAGGAGGGGGGGGCACTTTGTATGAATATTTTGTGATAGAAATGGAAGTTAGAAGATAGATGGTAATATCTTGTGATAGAAGACAAACATGTCAACATGGAAGTTAGAAAACATGGAAATTGTGTGATGGATTGTAACATTTTGATAGAAAGGTACAATGTGAAAGATGGACATATCCCATGGTGGTCAACTGACTGATGGTAAAATCTTGTGATAGACATGGAATAGTATGTATGGACACATGTTTGTTAGAAATGAAAAGTAGCCAATGTGAAGGAACAAACATCTCCAAACACTGGTCATTTGAATGATTCCATGGGGGTATAACCACCAAATATGATGATTCAATGAAATTAATGATGATTGGGTGGTGCCCCACACTGACAGTAGCTAAATTGGCTTATGTGCCTAGGTTAACTTTCGATTATCGTAGATGTTAACCTATTGCAGTAATGGGGTAAAACTCAACCGAATACGGACCGGGGGCCACCACCTCAAAGCAAAAGCCAGGGCTGAACTGACTGATGGTATACCCTCTGGTAAACGTTTACAGTTTGCGACATAGAACATGGCCCAGTCGAAATATTGGATTTACCCATGAAACAAATGGTGATTTTCCGCTGTTTTTTGTATGTTTACCAGAGGGTAATGGAATTGGTTGATGCTAAGCCACATCATTGTGCGTCTGGATTGTGGTCATCCAAAAAAAATCCAAAACCCCAAAAAATCTCCACTAAATCACATCAAACCACCCATCAAACCACCACTTTTTCAGAAGCCAAGTCCCTCTATATGTCCATTTTTGTTCGTGATATCAGTGATATCCCTGTTTAAACCACCATTTGTCTGGATGAAACCACAGCAAACATCCCTTCGAATCGTTGCTGATTCAACCCCATTGAATCCCATTTCTTCATTTTTGGTTGGATCAGTTCGCCATCTATCACTGGTTGGTGGTTTCAAAACCTCTGAAAAATGATGGAATTCATCAATTGGGATGATGAAATTCCCAATATATGGGAAAAAAATGTTCCAAACCACCAACCAGATAATTGTACCATACAGCCCTCTCACTCACAGTTTTGATCCTCCAAAATTAGACCCTTTTAGTATTGAAAGCCATGGTTTTGGGATTCCCCATTGTAAGAAACCCCCATCTGGCTTTGTCTGAAAATATGGTACCTCTGAATCTATTGGTTCATGCTCATTTTCGCTAAAAGTGGCAAGACTGTCAATCAATTCAGTTTCATTCTTCAGATCCTTGCATTGTCGTCCAACAAGTGAGTCAACAAGTTCTGCCTGTGAATTCACGGTCCGACGCACAAGTTGCTGATGACGGACAAGCAATCTGGCGAACAGTTCGTTGTAGAGTGTCACCTGAAGACCACTCATCAGCACAAGTGGTCGTTGCCTTGTCAAACACCAAAGCACTCGGCGCAACCCGTCTTCAGTCAGACTTGATGTGGCTGTGGCATTCAGGTCAGGGTCGCATGCCTCAATGGCCTGAGATAGCCTCACCTGACAGGAATTGACACTTTTGTTTTTACTGACTTAGTCAATCAATCAGTCATTATCCAACCACCCAAAAAAAAGCATCTGACTGTCAAACTCTCAGTCATGGTGGATAATCATGCCACACAATCGGGCAATCATATCACACAATTTTGGACAATCATGCCACACAATCGGGCAATCATATCAAACAATTTTGGCAACATGTATCCTCACAGAATCAGAATGGGCTATGTCATACATTTTTTATCATGAGAGCGCGCCTTCGGCATTGCACCTAAGTACTTGATGCTCCGCGGGATCGGCATCTCTCCCTTTGTAGCCTTGAAAAGCGCGTTCCTGGTGGCCATGACCCGGGACACTGCTTCATTGATGACATCAGAAGTCTCCTCCTGAGGCTCCTTTGTCTGAGACTGTGGAAAGGGTCCTGCTGTCCGGTTTGACGACATTGATCTCACTGGTGGCGCTGCCTTCTTTGGAGTCACTGCTGCCCTCTGACTCTCATTTGTCAAAACGGCCTGATGCACATCTTCCCCATGTTCCTCATCCTCACCGCCATCTTCATTTATAGAGGGTATACTCCATTGTAAGAAACATTCATATCATTTTTGTTGAGTGAGATTCATATATACTATCTACTGTGATATCATATGGTATATATTCAAAGGAAGTTTGGAAGTCAAACTTCCGACAATATGGAGAGATGAAAAAGCAGTCAGCAGGGAGAAGAGTCAGAGAAAAGATCAGAAGAAAGAAGATGCAGGTGCGCGAAAAGGTAGGAAAGTCGCGAAACACTGTGTTTTTTCATGGTTTTGTGGCTCCGGAGGGTTGAAAAGTAGGCTCGCTAAAGCGGCGGGTGCGGAGACATCTGGGGAGATGCGAGATGAAAAGTTGCACACCGTTGTGGCGCGAAGCCGATTTCGAAGTCAAAATGTTAAAAACATTAGGGGTTCGGACCACTTTTGGAAGTTCAGATCTCGAAAAAGTGCACGCCGTTTTGGCGCGAAGCACACTTGCAAGTCAACATGTTAAAAACACTAGGGGTTCGGACCACTTTTGGAAGTTCAGATCTCGAAAAAGTGCACGCCGTTTTGGCGCGAAGCACACTTGCAAGTCAACATGTTAAAAACACTAGGGGTTCGGACCACTTTTGGAAGTTCAGATCTCGAAAAAGTGCACGCCGTTTTGGCGCGAAGCACACTTGCAAGTCAACATGTTAAAAACACTAGGGGTTCGGACCACTTTTGGAAGTTCAGATCTCGAAAAAGTGCACGCTGTTGTGGCGCGAAGCACATTTTGAAGTCAAAATGTTAAAAACACTAGGGGTTCGGACTACTTTTGGAAGTTGCGATGTCGAAAAAGTGCACGCCGTTGTGGCGCGAAACATATCGAAGTCAAAATGTACAAAACACACCAGCTTCGGACCACTTTTGGAAGTTGAGATGTCGAAAAAGTGCACGCCGTTGTGGCGCGAAGCACATTTCGAAGTCAACATGTACAAAACACACCAGCTTCGGACCACTTTCTGAGGTTCAGATGTCGCTTCGCTTCGCTTCACTACACTGCATTACACTACACTACACTCCACTACACTACACTACATGAGAACACTACACTCCGCTACACTACAACTACAACTACACAACTACATCCACTACACTCCACTACGCTCCACTACACTAAATTACACTACACTACACTTCACTACATTACACTACACTACACTACCTTCCACTACACTTCACTACACTCCACTAAACTCCACTACAACTACACAACTACACTCCACTACACTCCACTACACCCCACTACACTAAATTACACTACACTCTAGTACGTTACACTACACTACACTTCACTACATTGCACTACGCTACACTCCACTACACTACAACTACAACCACAACTACAACTACACAACTACACAACTACGCTCCACGACACTCCACTACACTCCACTACACTAAATTACACTACACTCCAGTACATTACACTACACTACACTACCTTCCACTACACTTCACTACACTCCACTACACTACAACTACAACTACAACTACAACTACAACTACAACTACACAACTACGCAACTACACAACTACACAACTACACTCCACGACACTCCACTACACTAAATTACACTACACTACACTACATTACACTACACTCCACTACACTACACTCCACCAAACTAAATTGCACTACACTTCACTACATTACACTACATTACACTCCACTACACTACAACTACATCTACAACTACACAAATACACTCCACTACACTAAATTACACTACACTACACTACATTACACTACAACTACAGCTACAACTACACAACTACACTCCACTACACTCCACTACACTAAATTACACTACACTACACTACACTACATTGCACTACACTGCACTACATTCATGACATTCCACTACATTCCACTACACCACACTACATTACACTACACTACATTACACTCAATGACACTGCACCACAGATAGACAGGTAGACAGCTAGAAGGATGAAGGAGAGAGAGAGAGAGAGAGATAGATAGATAAATAGATAGATAGATAGGTAGATAGATAGATTAGATATAAAAGAAAAGAATAGAATAGAAAAAAAAAGAATAGAATAGATAGATAGAAAGAAATTAGATAGAAAAGAAAAGAAAAGAATAGAAAAGAAAAGAATAGAATAGAATAGATAGATAGAAAGATAGACAGATAGATAGATAGATAGGTAGGTAGGTAGATAGTCAGAGAAAGAAAGAGAAATAGCGAGAGAGATCAATCACCTTTCGCTCCATCAGTGGCTTCGCTCTGCCACCCCTGGTTCACATCAAACAGCCTCTCCTATAGGTTTCCTATTTTTGAAACTTCCGCCACCACCTTGTGCGGTACTACTGGTATGTTATGTGAATAAAATACTATAACTACAAGGTGGTGCCCGCCCAGTTATAACTTGGTTACTGAAATCCCATGGCAGCTAGTTCGGTATATCATGGTATATCTACCGTAAGTATCCATAAGTCCAAACGTGAAATTAGAGTTATGTGAGCCCCAACTGAACGCTATCATATATAAATCAGCGACTAAAAAATCCATGAAACCACCATTTTCCCATGGTTGTCCTATGGTTTTCCTATGGTTGTTGGGTGAGATTCATCCCGTTAAATCCAATTCAATCAGCAATTAGGTTACTGAAATCCCATTCAGCCATTAACCATGAACCATAAGACATACTATCTTGGGGGTTTTTCACTTTGGTTACTATCTTGGGGGCACCACCTTGTATCATGCTTGTTGGGTGAGATTCATCCCGTTAAATCATAAATGTGTCGTCCTGATTAGTGTGTACCCCCCGCAAGATAGTGAACCTTCGAAACATTGCTGGGGCCCAGGCCCTGAATCATGTGGATTTTTTGTTTTTACCACAATAGCGAACCTACAAGGTGGTGCCCCCAAGATAGCTAAGTTGGTGAACATAATTCTAATAACTAGGACTTATGGTAGATATATCGAACTAGTTAATGGGTTTTTAAACCCAGTTATAACTGGGGCCCCTCACCTTGTCAACATTGGTTGATCATTGTGTGGGTGCATAGTACTCCAATGGGATTATAACATTGCCAATCTTAGATACCCTGCAAAAAATGACAAAGTCTTTGCTGGTGAACGTAGATATTCCCATTGATATCGAAAGACTAGTTAGGATTAGTTTCCAGCCATCTAAGATTGACCTAGATAAACTACTATGTAAGAGGGATGAACCATATAGAACCATAGAATTCCAATGGGACTATACATGGGATTAATGATTATAAACCAACATTCACATCACCAGCAACGGCCGCCTTCTGGGATGAGAATCACGTCCCATGCGCCGCTCTGCAAGGGCTCGATTCTCCTGTTGTGAGCACTTGGGCATTTCATGGGCTTGAAAAAAACATAGAATTTAATGGGACTTGAGATTTTGTGATATTCCAGAATTTTAATGAAATTCAATGGAACTTAATGGGATTCAAATTGATTTGAATCGTATTAATTGGAGATTTAATGGGATCGAAAAGGTTTTACCAACAAAACATGCGATTTAATGTGATTGTTTGGGGTTTCGATAAAAACAAAATATTGGTGGCTAACAGCCATCTGTGCCATGGTCAAACCATGATTAATATGTTTTATGGTTGCTCATCCATCTCATTCCATGGGAGACCTTGCAATTGGTATATAAAACTCTGTGAAAATGCATTGACGCCCATCCCCCAATATTGGTATATTATACAATCCATCTTTTGACAAGGAGCATGCGAGTCTGACGACAGTGCAGAATATGGACCACAGCACACCTGAGAATTGATTTAATCATAGCTGGGATATCATGGGATATTACCAGTTGTATGTGGGTTACATATTCACATACTAACTAGAATGCATATGAAGAAGTACATATACTTGAGGGAAAAGCAACTGATCAACTGCTTCTTTGGGGGTTGCGGTGTGATGCTCAATTTCCAAATCATTCTAAAATTCTAAATCATCATGTTTTTGGGGTGCGACATGACAGCAGTCAAACAACATTGGTGCTTTGTTAAGCGCGTGATGCCGCTTCGCTGCTTCAGATTCACGTGTCGCTAGGGCGGGACCACAGGGACCATAGCCCCTCATCCATTGATGGACATTGTTGGAAACAAGTGGACAAAATGTATTATCATTATATACTATTATTGATTCCCCACCTGCCAGGTGAGGGTTGTTAGATTTTATCAGAGCTGTTCTCCTCATCCTCCTTCTCCTCCTCCTCCGCCTCCTCCTCTTGCTCCTCCTCCAGTTTCTCCTCGACCATGTCTGCATCAACTTCCACGTCCACTTCCGCCTTGCCAACTTGTCGCCAATCTCCTCGCCAACTTCCGCGGGCAGTGGGCACTGCTGGACCTCAACTGCCGGCTTCCGATCTGAGTGGGCACGGCTGGACCTCAACCGCCAGGTTCTGATCGCAGTGGGCACCGCTGGACCTCAACCTGGGACCTTCAGAGCTCTTCGCCAACTTCCGTGCGCAGTGGGCACTGCTGGACCTCAACTGCCGGCTACCGATCTGAGTGGGCACGGCTGGACCTCAACCGCCAGGTTCTGATCGCAGTGGGCACCGCTGGACCTCAACGGCCAGATAGAATGCCAGGAGGTATGCCAGATAAAGTGCCAGAATGTTTGCCAGATTTTGCCAGATAGAACGCCAGAAGATTTGCTAGATAGAATGCCAGATAGAATGTCAGAAGATATGCCAGAAGATATGTCAGAGAGAGTGACAGATAGAATGTCAGATAGAATGCCAGAAGATATGCCAGATAAAATGCCAGAAGAAATGCCAGAAGATATGCCAGATAAAATGCCAGAAGAAATGCCAGAAGATATGCCAGATAGAATGCCAGATAGAATGTCAGAAGATATGCCAGATAGAATGCCAGATCGAATGCCAGAAGATACGTCAGATGGAATGCCAGAAGATTTGCCAGTAACAAAACGTATACATGTCATGGTGGGGATCACTCGAAGTAAAGTATTTTTTATTATTGATTATTGATTTCCGTTATTATTGATTATTGTTATTATTGTTGATTATTATTATCATTATTTTCATTGATTATTATTATTGATTATTATTATTATTAGTTATGTCCCATGCACAAACAGTTGCAGTTTGGTGCTCCATGATCTCCATGCCTAACTGCGGCATCTGCAGGTAGCCCGTAAAGTACTTGGTGGACCGTCGAGCAGCAATTTGCATGAGCCGTTGCAACTTGTGCAGCGTACGGGCACTGAGGCAATTTCGCGTGCAGGTTGGATCATGGGACGCATCACACAAAGACACACGAAAGTTCACGCCTGTGTGACTGTTTCCAAGGAGCATGACTGCAAAGGCTCGCACGGTCCCGGAGAGCCATTCACTTTGACGAAGGTTCAGGACCGGCCCCAAGGCGTTGCGACGGCCTGCTGTGCTGAGCCTGAAGCGCCGGGCGTTGCCGCGGCAAATGACCCGCTGTCGTGCATTTAATACTTTGGGGAAATTATGTTTGCACCGGTTGGGGGCGCCTTTTTTGCAGCACCCGACAAAGGCCAAGGTGGATCGGCAGGTGCGAGGGAGAGGTGCCTCCAGCGGGAAGAGCCTGGCCGCCCCCCAGCCCCTGCGTTTTTCGGTGAAGCCCGTCCTGTCAATTACCAAAAACATCAGAAATAGCTGCGGCGGTGCCTGGAATTCTGAACGAAGGATCGCACAATACTACTGTAAATTAACCCCCCTTTTTTTTGGCTCAGGTGGCTGTAGCCATCACTTATCTTTGTTTATCCGGACTAATGGTGACTATGACTATCTTACAATGTTACCCCATAGTTCCCCACCTGCCAGGTAAGGGCGTCTATGGTTTTATCAAAGATGCAACTCCATCACTCCTCGGTGACGCCGATGAGGTGGCAGTGCTTTGCGTGGCAGGCGTGGCACTTAGGGCAGGACCCTGTCAGGATACTTTGGAACTCGTCTACAACTTTGTCACATGGAACTCTTTCACCCACAACTCTTTCACACACAGCTCCTTCAAACACACCTTTGTCACACACACACACACACACCTCTTGAACACGCTACTCTTTCAGACACAACTCTGTCACACACACACACACCCTTGAACACGCTACTCTTTCAGGCGCAACTCTGTCACACAGACACAGACACACACACACACACACACACCTCTTGAACACAATACTCTTTTGGACACAACTCTGTCACACGCACACACACACACACCTCTTGAACACACTACTCTTTCAGACACAACTCTGTCACACACACACACACCCTTGAACACGCTACTCTTTCAGGCGCAACTCTGTCACACAGACACACACACACACGCACACCTCTTGAACACAATACTCTTTTAGACACAACTCTGTCACACACACACACACACCTCTTGAACACACTACTCTTTCAGACACAACTCTGTCACACACACACACCTCTTGAACACACTACTCTTTCAGACACAACTCTGTCACACACACACAACTATTTCATCCACAACTCTTCCAGACACAACTCTTTGACTCCCAACTCTTTCACACACAACTATTTCATCCACAACTCTTTCAGACACAACTCTTTGACTCCCAACTCTTTCACACACAACACTTTCAGTCAGATTTCTTTGACACACCACACTTTCACATACATTCACATACAACTCTTGCAAACAACCAGTCCTCCACCATCTCCTTTGTTTTTCTTGCCTTTCCCATCTCACTTTCTCGCCTGAAATTATTGTAAGAAGTTGATATGTGGGGTTCTCCGGCCCTTTAATTTTGATGGTTAGGAAGGCATCCAAGTTCTGTTGCCTTCCTAAAGAAACACATGTTTCGCGTCCGAACTCACAAGTCCCAAAGAATTCGCCCAATTGTGCGACGAGAAATGACTCTTGACCAATGCCTGCCATATGAATCATACAGTTATGGCCATTTATTAGTTATAAGTACTTATAACCCCAATTATAGAATGTATAATCCCATTTATAACCAGTTATGTAAATGGCCATAACTGTATGGAGGTTTCCAAAGTCATGGGGATACCCCAAATCATCCAAGATTGACCATTTTAGTATTGAACTCCATGCTTTAGGAAACCTCTAAGGGAATTCATATCCGCTTGCCAGCTCTTTGATATTAAGCACCATGAAATCTCATAAAATCCTGTTCACCAAAACAAACCTTGGAAAATAAGCCCAAAATCATCCAAAATCATCTTGTTGGTCATACATGTTGTGCATCCCACTCAATCCCCATTCGCATCCATCCCAAATCGAAATCATCATTTTTTGGGGTATCAAATCTGGGCAAATTACAATAATTCACTAACCTGAAACTTGCGGCCATTTGGGGATGATTTCCCAAAAATAAACCATGATTCCAGTGAGGGAGAACAGTGAGGGAGAACAGTGAGGTCGTTATAATTTACCCAGATCATATGGAGGTTTCCAAAGTCATGGGGATACCCCAAATCATCCAAGATTGACATTTTTTGGGGTATCAAATCATTTAATCCCGGCAAAAATCACCCCAAAAAGGGATCGTTTGAACTCCTACGGCCATCCAAATCCCACCAAAAATCACCCGAAAAAAGGGGTCCTACTTGAACTTCCATCCACCGGTCCCGCCCCGCGTCCAGTACTGACTGCTGAGCATGTCGTTGCTCCGTCGCCCCGCCACGTTGGGCGGATCGCTGCGGAGCTCGAGGTAGGAGGCCGGGTCGCGACCTCGGTCGCAGAAGGCTGCGGTGACCCCAGGGGATGGTGAAACGATCACGGAGAAATGGTGGTTTTATGGATTTCACCATGGAGAAATGGTGATTTCATGGATTTCACTCACCAAGAAGGGTGGTTTCATGGGATTTAATGAGACTTAACCCAACAAAGCTGCGGTGATTTCATAGGTTTTGAATCTCATGGTTTTGACCAAGAAAAATGGTAATTCAATAGGATTTGACTAACCGTCATGAGGGAGAAAACCAACAGAACATGTACTATGTGTTTTTCGAAAGTTCGGTCAGATTCATCTGAAGCAGATCAATCCACCTTCATGGTAGTCCTCTGAGTGGGGGAATTGTAGATTGACTTTCAAGATCTGAAACCGATCGTCAAAGCAAAACGATCCTGACACGCAATCCCACAATCCTTTACCAGTTATAGATGATTATAAATGGCCTTATACGTGGGGTTATCATTCCAACTGCAACTTTCAACATGCCAAGATGTGACTCCAAGGTGTTTCTACGTTCTCCAAGTGGTTCAATCACTCCTTCTGTTTCCCCACTCGCCCTTGCGTGGCCCGGAGCTCAACAGGTCTTCTTAGTCTCCTCCGGTGCGGAGCTCATGGATGCCGCAAAAGGCTGCGATGAGATTCGCGAACACTTCAGGCAAAGCCTAAGGCGTATCTGCCATTTATTGGTTATAAGTACTTATAACCCCAATTATAGAATGTATAATCCCATTTATAACCAGTTATAACTGATAAATGGCCATAACTGTAAGGCGTATCTGCCAGCATCCCCAAACCACACGTTGTCAAAGTGGCTTCAGTGTTTCGCTGTGATCTTTCCCACCGACAATGGTCTCTCCCACCGTCAAGCACTTTCGCTTAGTCAGCCGTTTAGCACACACATACACATATGGGTTTGTCTGAAAATAGTGTACCCCTAAACCCAATGGTTAATGATCATTATCCCTATTAAATGGCTATAATTGGGAATATACCTTATTTTCCGACAAACCCACATATATAGTGGACAGGGATAGCTCCCCCACGCAAGTGCTCCTGGTTCCGTTTCCGGGTGACCGAGCCACACCACACACGCTGAATAGATGGCTCTCCGAAGACTGCTTTGCAGAACAGAGCTCCCACCAGCCCAACATAGTAGGCTGGGTTCTAATGTGATTTAATATGATACTGTGGATGGAAGAAATCCTGCACCAGATGGTAACTATTGGTAACTATGAGACACTGTATTATAAATAAATCATGGATAATAATGGGATATAGTGGGATTGTGACGGCACAGACCCACAGTATTAATACATGATATCCATGTACATTTGTTTATTGCATAAAGACATTTATCCATGAATATGTAAAATGTATTATTGATGTGTTATAGAGGCATTCTAGATGCATTAAAGCTGTTATATTGTATAATGACATTAAAAATACATTAGTTTGATATATTTATATACCTGGCAAACGATATTTCACTAACCTGAAACTTGCGGCCATTTGGGGATGATTTTCCTAAAATAAACCATGATTCCAGGCTTCGGGAGAATAGGGTTCGGTCGTTATCATATAGCCAGATATCCTGACATATAGCATGCCACACGTCCGAAACCTGGACACACTCCCAGAATCTTCATACCGAACAGCAAAGCTTGAAAAAGCCTATCATCGTTTGTCACTAAAGCGGATGTTTACCTAACTGGTTGGTGGTTGAGCCACCCCTCTGAAAAAAAATGAATTCGTCAGTTGGGATTATTATTCCCAATATATGGATAAATTAAACATGTTCCAAACCACCAACTAGCCAAGGTTGATGACAGTGTTTCTTCTTTGCGCCCTGTACTTCATGCTGCTGGGAATTGCTTATATAATTTGTCTTAATAAGATCATGGCCCAAGCAAAAATAATGATTGGAAAAGCTGCCTAGATTTGTCCAATAATTCATCAACCTGAAAAGTTAGCCAACTTTCCTATACCAACCATCAATTACAGTGAGGTCTCTCGTTATAACTGATCCATATATGTGTAACACCTCCTGTAAACTAACATGCGCCATAGTTGGAAGATCATGTCCCCGAATGGAAACCATGGGGGTTTTCCACATGTGAATGTTTACCTTGGGGTAGATCCTAACATATTCCAATATATCACTGGTTGGTGGTTTCAACCCCTCTGAAAAATATGAATTCGTCAGTTGGGATGATGAAATTCCCAACTGAATGGGAAAATAATTCAAATGTTCCAAACCGCCGATCAGATCCTAACATATTCCAATATATCACCAAATTTTTTTTGGATAAATAGCCATATTCTAAGAAAATAGCCATATTCCAACACAAATATTCCAATAATAAAATAGCCAAATTAATATACCATAGAAATAGCCATATATTCATATTCTAATCAATAGCCATATTCCAATAAATAGCCATATAATAGCCATATAATAGCCTAATAAATAGCCATATTCTAAGAATAAATAGCCATATTCTAATCAATCGCAATGGGGGTATATTCCAAAAGCCATGGCTTCCATCCCATTTAAGGCTGCGTCACCATTCGCTGCCGGGCCACGGATCTGCAGGTTTCCATAAAGATCCGCGGACTGCAAGCGAAGAAAGACGTCCTAGTAGCGTGCAGCGTGTGTTGACGTTGAGGAAATCGTAGGCATGGTTGAATGGATGAAGATTCTGAATGATGCATATTGAATCAATGTTGAGTGAATTCTTGAATACTGATAGTATCAATGTTGAGTGAATTCTTGAATGAACATATCGTAACCACTGAAAAGAATGGATGAATATTGAATCAGGTTTTCGTTGCATACCAAAAGGATATTAACCAATTGAATCAGGTTTTTTGGTAACCATACCAGTTGTCAATGGGAATTTCAGGATCCTAAAATGGAGGTACTGTATCTTGATAGCTAAGTTATGCTAAGTTGATATCGGAAGGTTGCTGGAATTTGCTTACGCACCAAAACTAGGACAAACATGGATTTTTAAGGATACACACAAAAGTCCAGATAAGTCGGAGTATAACTGCAATCCACCCTGCCAGATTCTCAGATAGAGGTTGGAAGATTAGTTGAACCACTAAAAATTGGTGATTTTCAGGGCCGAGGGTATACTGTGGTAAACTCCATAATGAACCATGCCCAAAATCACCGCAAATCGTTTCTATGAAGCATCCCCAAATGGTAGGTTTATTATTGGGCTTCCTACATTAAACAACTTATAGATGATTAGATGGGTACAGTGAGAACCTGAAGCAACGGACCCACACATTGGTTCAGTTTTGTCTCAAACCATGCACTTTTGAGTGTCAACATTTTGAGTCCAATCTCAAAAAACTCCATTTTGGTCACCATCAATTGATCTCATCACACGTCATTCAAAAGAGCACTATTATTAACAATCATTAACCATATAATAACCATCAATATTAACCATTTAATTAACAGTATATTAACCAGTTGGTTTTTTCACCAACCAGATGACTTCACGGTCATCATGATGATTGCGGTCACCATGATGATGATCATATGATATCGATGACAGCTGAGTAAGCAACAAGCAATGATGAAGAGCCAATGATGACCAATCAATATAACCAATCATGAATAGCAGCAAATAATGAATGCTGAATGGGCAATGATGAATAATCCAAATACATGAGTTGGTCTGAGAAGAGGGTGATCGAAAAAAAAGAGTGGTTTTTCATAATCTCCAGACATTTGGTGCTATCCATGATTTGCAAACACACACACATACTGAATGGCCATTTCAGGTACCTAAACTGCAGGTATCTTATGTAAGGGCTATCGAAAAGTATACACCCTCTGGTAAACTAACAAAACTATGGAAAATCACCATTTTGAATGCGTAAATCAACTATGAATGACAATTTTCTATGTCGCAAACTGTAAACGTTTACCAGGCCGGGTACCCCCAACATATGGCCCAACGTATGGTACCTGGTACCTGGTACCTCCATATTTTAAGGTCCCGAACTTCCCAGGGGTTTCCAATCCATGGGGGGTCCCCCTAAATCATCAATTGAAACTGCTTGGTGGTTTAATGGTGATTTAATGATGGTTAATGATGGTTAATAATGACTGCTTGGTGGTGCAAGCAATCACCACCTTGAAAAATGATGGAGTGAAAGTCAATGGGAAGAATCATCCCTTATATGAAATGCAAAATAAAAGCTGGGCTCAGTGCTGGCTTCAAGGAAGTATTTCCCCCCTTGTTGCCAGTTAGCTAGACCTAAGTGGGTGCGTTCCAGTGCCATACCCACGGGTTTCGGTGGAGTTTCTGCTGGAACCTTTGCTAGCACTGGTGTTCCGTGCGCCTCTTCTATCGGGAGAAGGGCAACGATACTGTGTATGCGCACGTGCCATTTGATCTTCCTGCTCACCATTTTCTTCTTGGGCTTCAAAGGTGTGGTCTTCATTGGAACCTTTGGTAAGGATTACTCCTACGCAGAGGCGATCCCAAAGAAGAGCTCGGGCTGCAGCGCGGAGGCGCTGGTATCTGCACAAGCACAAGAAGGTTGTGCTTTCCAAGGTGCAGCTGAAGGCCATCTATCATCGGTTGGCCAAGCATCATTCCCGGGATTCCACCTTTCTACGAGCTATTGCCGCGGCCATGGAGCCTTGGCGTTGCAGCTGTGGGAGGCTGAACAAGAAGAATGCCAGAGTGTGTGGAACGTGTCAATGGGGCTATGCGCCACCGCCCGACCAGTGGCAGTGGCAGAAGTCTGCCTGGAGTGGCCAGTGGGAAGAGGATCCATGGGTCAAATCCCGGAGAAGGACAGCGACCCCATCCCGGTCTCAGTCTCCAAGGGCAAGGACAGCAAGCCCAAGGCAGAGAACATACCAGCCTCAAAAGACACGAGGAAGAAGGAAAAATGGCAAGAACAAAAACAAGCAGGAAGACCCAGGCGAGGAGCTGGAGGAGCCACCGTGGAATTGGGAGGCGCCGTCAATACCAGCCTTACCTGCGTCGACATCAAGTCAGGGCTCGACGACTTCGAAGATCGAGCAGAAGTACAAGGAGCTCGTGCAGCAGCTCAAGAAAACCCCCGAGCAGCTTACGCCGGAAGTGCAGGCCATTGTGACCAGAGAGACAGTGAGCGAAACCCAGGGAGCTGCCAAATCACTTCACAGCGTTGTGACAAAGATGGAGAAGGCCCAGAAAGCATTGGACGCGGCCAATGGTGCGAGGCTTCAGCTCCACAGTCGATGGCGCACATTCATCGCAGCAGCGATTCCAAGATGGACGAAGTGGATCGAGGATTTTCAGAAGGACGATGCAGAGCTTCAGGAAAAGATCAAGACCGCCAAGGACTACTGCGATACCATCAAGGAGGAGTATCAGCAGTCGAATCTCCATCTCAAGGGTACCATCGAGATCATGGACGACGACGAGAACCAGGTCGACCAGGCTGCCGACAAAATCAAGCAGAGCATGGCCAGTATGATGGAGTCCTTGAGCGACGTCAAAAACAAGGCGGACCAATTGCATGCAGAGCAAGAGAAGACCGCCAAGAGACCCCGCCTCGAGCACAGAGGCAGCGGAGTACCCCAAGAGGACGAGACGT